ACTAAATGTGAATCGTAACCTCCAGTGCATGATGCTTGTCCTTGTGCCCAGGAGGATCGAATGGTACCAGCTGGAAGCAGGTATGAAAGCAACAGCCGTGCACATCAGAGCACAGCAGTAGCTACCTTAAGCAGAACTTTAATTCTGGGACGTGAAATCCACCACCACTTTCAAGTTTCATGTATATTCACGCGTACAATAGGAGAGAGTATGCTTTGTGAGGAAGTGCTGTCCCGAAGGTGTAGCAGATGATAACGCTCAAGAAACCATTTCAAAGCACAGCCTGAGCTGTTCGCCAGTCAGCGTGGGGACCACGTTTTCTTTTTGCTATGCACAGCACGGGCAGAGTGGGCTCTGGAGCCTAATGGGGCCTCAGGGCACTCTTGAAACACAAAGTAAAAGGAACAACCAAATTCTGCTTTTTTTTTTTTTTTTTTTTTTTTAATTCTCTGGAGGTGTTCTTCAGGTAATAGTTGTCCAAGTATCACAGACTGAACACTTGCTGGAGGTTTTGGAGGTTTTTTGTTTGTTTGTTTTTGTGGCTATTTTTTTAGGCTACTGTATAGCTTGCAGTTTTTGAGGTAGAAATTGTGTAGAATTTTTCATTGCAAACAAAGGTTTTGCCATTTTTAGAGAAAATCACTAAATCAAGTTATAAAAATTCCAGTTCAAGTGCTAAAAGCTGAAATACATATAAAGTGCCCTCCCAGCTGAACCTTTGGGTGTTAGGCCAGGAAAAATATTTGCAATGAAGAAAAAGAAACTTGATTTAATCGCTATGAGTCTGAAGCAGATTTTTTGCCATTTTTAGTTTCACCGACATACTGTAGTCACATGCATTTAGTCAACTGATTATGGGATCTAGTTTCTTAAATATTAAATGAACTGAGATTAAGAAAATTCAAATAACATTCGGCATTGAGGATACTTTCAAATTCACAAACACATGGGCTCTTTGCAGCTAAAACTGTGATAGACAGAGTCTGAATTGCATTACAGCAGTTCCAGAGGAAGGTCCCTCGGAACCTGGATTTTAAGGTTCAGAAGTAGGAGCTATCATCCAAAAATCATACAAAAACTAGTGCTTAGCATCCTTATTCATCCAACTATTTTTTCATGTTTGTTTCTAAAACTTTCCTTTAAAATGGCCTAAACTTACCTTTCATTTAAATAATATTGTTGATAACGTTATTTTAATTAATCTGGACTTTTTTTTATTATTATTATTATTATTTATTTTTTTTTTCCCTTAACCTTTTATACTAGACCTGTGAAGTCTGTTCTCCACTGGAGATCTGTGCACGGGGGAGACCCAGCCTACAGGCTGTGACAACTCAAAGGGAAGGGCTGACCTGTCGAAATGCTAACAGACACCTCCTAACACCCAACGGTTTGGTAAGTATTGACTTTTTTTGTAAGTATTGAAGGGAGGAACCAAGTGGTAAAAGCTTCTTTGAGCCATGTGGGCCCTTCATAAGCCCTTCCTCTCTGAGCTGTTGGTCTGGGGCTGATCGGTTTTTCAGCTGTGCTACACAAGGCACCGGGGGCTGCCCAGGACAGGGACTGCCCTGGGTGCTGCCAGGACTCCTGAGAGCAACTGGGAGATGGAACCACTGCTGGCGGGCAAAGCATGGCACACCTGATGCAAATGGACAGAGCCGATAGCAGAAAATGAGGAGCAGACAGAGAAACAAAGACACAGGGTTTATTTTGTGCACAAAGGTAGGAAAGTCCTGCACACATGTACAATGTAGTAGAGCATACAGAAGTACAGAGAGGAAAAGAGCAGCGTAGCTGAAGTCGAGAGATGCTTCGTGATGACAAGGCATGAGAGGAAGGAAAGAATTCGAGTGCAGGAATGGAGAACACTTTCGCGGTGTGTACGCAGACAGAGACTGAACTGCTGCTCCGCAGGTAGTATATTCTAGATGAGTAACTTCCATATTCCTTTAAATCCATATAAAGCCTGTATGTAATACTGGATATACTCTCACATCAAACTTCTAGTGTTGACGATAGTTTTGGAATTTCTATACAGATACATTTGTTGGTTTGCATACTGTGCTTACAGCTGTGGTATGTCAGACATAATATTAATACACGTACTGGTTTCTAGATTTCTTCAATGTTACTACCAGGATTAAATTTTTACTAACTGTAGGTTATCCATGCTATGTAAAGCACATAACATCTCAATTTATTTATGTGGGATTTGAGATAAAACCAAAAATTTTATTGTGATTTTTTTTAATTTAGATTTATTTTTTTTTAAATTGGTTTGGAAACCTTTGGTTATAAGCATCATTTTCATCATAAGAATTTTCAGAATTCAGATTTCCTTGCTTTTATTTAGTATTTGAAAAAGATATGATAGCTTTAATTTCAAATTATTTCTGATGCCGTCTAAGTTTTTTGTTTCAATACTATACCAAGAAACATTTTAAGCCAGGATGAAATGAAAACTATGGTCTGCAGTAAAATTTCTAGCATAATACATTCATAGAATCAAAAACACAAGGTTGGTAAGGACCTACAAGATCATCTAGTCCAACCATCCTCCTATCACCAATACTGCATTGTTTTGTTTTAACTCAGAACAATGGGAATGCTTTCGTTTTGTTTTGTTTTACCTTGGTATTTTAAACCAAAATGCAAACATGTTACACTGAAGTATTGATTTTATTTTAAAAAATGTATATATTTTCCTCTGAAATTGTAAGATCAATCATACTACTTTTTTTTTTTTTTTTTTTTTTTTTTTTCCCCAGAGTGGGGAAAAAATAAACAAACAACCAAAAACAAAACAAAACAGTTATTCAAAATTGTATTTTCATTGAAGAAAAAAAAAAAATCCAAAGTACAGTTTGGTTTTGGTTTGTTGTCTTTGCCTGTGTTACATTTTTCAAAATTTTACAAATCATTCCCACCGAGAAAGGTAACGAAGCCCTAGAACTGACAGAAAACAGTTCTGTTTTTGACTCTGACACATTAATTTCATCCCCAGGGATGGAAAATACATTCCCATCATGTATTTATTGCTTTCTTACAAAGAGGAAAGGAACTTTTAGCTGCATAATATTTTTTTTTCCACAAGAGATCAAAAATAAAATTACGCCAACCAATTTTCTGTGAGATATAGATAACAAAGAAGTTATCCTTGTGTAATACAATTGTTATAAGTAAATGTATTGTGCTTAAGTTTTCATGCTAAGGCAGGTGCTTGATACAGGGATATGTGACATCACCGGGATGAATCATGGTATTTTCCACCAATGTGTAAAGGAATGTGTGTTTGTTTTTTTTTTTTCTGAAAATATGAGTCATATTTTCAATAATACTATTGTTGCTGAAATTATGCTTTGAACAGCATTCAGAAAAAATAACGAATCTGGGGACACTTCTGAAAAGTGGGAGATAAAAGGCAGAGACTTGATTCTCAGGCAGTAATTTCTGCTGTATCCTGCTGTGGCAAAACAGGAACCTCAATATCTCATTTAGGACTCTCTGGAGTCATAAAATCTCATTGTATAGCATTAGTTAGTTCTTTCTGTAACTCTGCTACCTGCCATCATCACTCAAGGACACTATTTTAAATGACTAAAACAGGCACAGAACCTATACAAATATGACGTGGTCGTAAATGCCTGAAGAAATGTTTGCACAGTTCATGAATGGCTTTTGCGTTAAAGCATTGTTTAGAAAATGAAAAACTCACTTTTTACTGCTGTTTTTACATGTAACAATATATGTCAGTAGTGTCTACTCTCCCAAAGGCATCTACAGATTCAGATATTTTACATTTTTTACATATTTTTGCTAAACCTCTCAGTATTCATAATATTCATGTCCCTAATATTCATTATTTAAAGAATCCATGTACAAGCTGATCAACTGTACTATCCTGATTTCTTCCTCAGAAGGAATAAAAGAATGATTTTTTGTCTGATGACACTCATATCTACTAATGGATTACATAGATTTAGTTAAAGTTGTAGAAGTCTTTGGAAAAAAAAAAGGCAAATGATTTTAAAACCTAATGTATTTACTAATTTTTTCTTGAAAGAAGAACCTAAATGAAGATTGATACAGCTGCTGCTTATCTCAGTATAATGCATTGGAGGTGTAGAGGCTACTGGAAGCAGAGGTGCAGGATTAGAGTTACCAGTGCAGTACTTGCACTAATCCAAATGGATGTACAAGTGGGCTCAGTGTGTTGCCAACTGCTAATCCAAACCAGTATCTAATTATCCAAAAATCCTATAGATGATTTCACAGGTAGGAGACTAAACTGTCAAAGAAATAGCAGTGAAGCATGTATATGATGCTGAGATAGTGGCAGTCAGCAAGATTTTTATGGTAAAATTAACCTCACTGAAGGCAAAGGATCTTTGCCACCCATTGCAGCAGGAGCCTGAATGCCACCATCATTGTATCTTACAGTTCCCTTTAGCGTGCATTGCTTCTTGGTGTGCCCCACTGCTCATGCTGGCAGTGCAGCACATGGTGAAATGCTTGGGTGGAGGTGGGATGAGACACTTTTTAAGATCTGCTATCATTTGATCTAAAACAAAGTGAAAGCACTAACATGGATCCAAAGTGGTTCATGAAATAGGCAAGAACTTGGTCCTGAGCATTTGCACCACAAAGTGCTCATCATTCACTTTGTTAGATTGTATTAAAAGGAACACGATGTTACCTAAGAGGTTTGTTTCCACGTTGCAACCAAAGTTGAAGAATAATTGTATAAGACTGAACACTTCACTGTAAGTTCAAAAAATATAAAATGATTTTTAAAATTCAGATGCTTGCATTGCTTTGCTAAGCTGTTTGGAAAAGGCATCTTCTGTTGCACTAAACCAAGAGTTAAAAGGCTGCTAATAGTCTTCCTGGTCACCCCACTCGACTGCTGGATCATCATCCATTCGCAGAATAAGGTAGGAGAGAAGCTGAAAGAGATTCTGCCACAACAGTAAAGAGACAAAAAAGGAGAGGTCGCTTACATCGATCTCACAGCGGTCCCCAGCGTAGTTCACGTCGCAGAGGCAGTGAAATTTGTTGAGCAAATTCTGGCAGAGGCCCCCATTCAGGCACGGGTCAGAACTGCACTCATCAATGTCCTTTTCACACCTAGAGGTAAGAGAGGAAACAGTGATCCTCTGAAATCACGTACAAAATGCATAAAACTGGCACATTTTTAATTCAGATGCTTTTTGGTGGGAGGGTGCTCTTTTTGAAATACATAGTATACTTCCACATGTGTTTATGGTCTTATTATTAGCCATGCTTAAATCTTGAACTTCCTGCGTTATATTAAAACACAGATAAGCTGGAAATGTCTTTTCTGTGGAGTATTTCCTGGTTAATGGTGCTTAGCAACATGAAATGTACGTTGCGGTGTGATTTTAGAGCTGGATCCAGCACAGCCCTGCTAAAAGCTTGCTTGTCCATTCTCATTCTTACTGCGAGATGAGGGCACGTTTTCCTTATCAGTAATTTGGACCCACGTCGAACTCATGCATATTTTTTTTCACAACAGAGTGCCTCTGGGAATACTCACTTGCTTTTTTTTTTTCTCAATTAAAAATGCCATTAGATGCCCGGCGCAATCTCCTACCCAGTCTCTCTGAGGACATGGGCATCGAAAATGGTAGGAAAAGGTGATGCAGAGTAATGTTTTAGAAGCTTAAATAGGTATCATTGCATGCTTTTGAGTTAATTTTGATGAGAAAGGAAACCCGAGCTCTTAATTTCTTAAAGCAACTAATTGAACATTAATGAAAAATGTGTGAGACTTTTTGGAAACAAGTAATGAGTTGGTGCCTTTCTGCTCTGGCAAAGCTTCCCCCTTAATTCCCTACCTCATTTTCTTAAAATAATGCTAATGGTCACTCCTATTTTTTCCAGATAAAGAGTTATGTTCACCCTTGAAGTAGAATGCATGAAATTATAAGGAATTGCTTTGTTCAGTCATATTTATAACCACCCAATAAACTGTGTTACATTAGAGAAGAGCTGTTCTTTATATTAAGTGTGCTTAGCTCGTTTTCTTAGTTAATACATGAAAAAGTTTCCACCACTTCTTCCAATGACAAATTACATTCACATTCTTTAAAAAGCTGAAATTAAAGTATTAATTCAATATGTAAAAATTGTATGGCTATGAAATTAACCTATGCAAAACTGAAAAACGACTAGAAAACAAAATAGTCCAGGGCATGAGATGCCTGAATTCAACTGAATTTCTGGAAGATGTGAAGTAGGTAATTAGATAATTTTGATAATCCTGGCCTGGATTCAAGGAATAAACTGTTTTCAAGAGACAGCAATATCTCCCTTAATGAAGAGTAATCTTTTCACGTTTCCCTTTCCATATAGTATCAAGTTTATTCTTTTTTTTTTTTTTTTTTTTTTAACTTGTGATCCCCAATCGATTGACATGGAAAGACAATGTTTTCTCTATATTGTACATCAGTGGCTTTCTTAGGGATGAAATATTGTCTTTAAAGGAATATGCCTGCTTTACCAGTCTAATCAATAAATATACCAAAGGGTTATGCTTTGAATTTTCTTATTAACTGACGTATTTGAAGTTGTTCTGAAAAAAAGAAGTCTTGTGTTTGAGGTGAAATTTTCTCATTTGGTGTACTAACTTCTGCAAATGCAGAAATACTTCTGGTTTATGGTGCAGCAGCCTGGAGGTAAAGAGGACAAATAGTCGATTTTAGACATTGGAGAAGAATGCCTCGCTGTGATAGTCAGTTATAGTGCAGTGTGCTTGGTACAAGGCTGCTGCTCAATATGAGGATCATGGGAACTATAAAATAGAGATTATTGCCAGCCAGTGGGATGGATGTAAGCAAGGCTCATTCCCAAAGCTGTAGTTAGCACGTTGTCTGGCAGGGAAAGGAAGAAGGAAAAAACACTTTCTCTCTACCTCAAAGTCCTGAGAAAAATACACACCAAAGAATTGCCTGAGAATATGCTTTTATTTATTTTGTTTTTACTATTATTTTATTTTTTAACCTTTTTTTAACTGTTGTGGCATGGCACACAGACCTTCTGGCTGAGTTAAACAGTACAGCACAGATGTGTCTGACAACCACACAGAGCACTGAGTGGGTGGAAACTTTCATTTCATCCATCCTTTATGGCTTACTGTACTGTTTCCACAAAGTCCATGGATTAATAAGTTTTGAGAGAATTAAAACCTTTTGTTGAAAATTGCTTTGTGCTTTCAGAGCCAGCATAGCTTGGTGCTATTGAAGCTTTGGATGTTGTACTAAAATGTAATGCTAATTTCACTAAGAGTGAAAGCCATTCATTTTCTGTTTCTGTTCTGCATTCCCTTTCTTACTACCCAGAAAGGTGCTGTTACCTCAGGCTATATTATGACTGGGACAATGTCCTTCTATGTTTTTACAGCACCTGATGCACTGAGGCCATCAAGCTTCCTTATTCCCAAACCTTTTGTAGACAACAAACAAGGGGTTAAGAGTGAATTGTGGCAATCTGCTATATGACACAAATTTTGCTGTGGGAAAGGATGATGGCCTCTCTGCTTCAGACTACACTATAAGATGTAAAAAGTACTTCTCAGCTTGACTTTTAAATAATAATCCTGTTTTTGTATTTTGGCATTCAGTAAAAAATAAAAAATAAAAATAAAATAGAAAAGCCGCTATACCAGCAAGTATGTCATGTCATGCCATCCCTGTAGAATAGATTGTATATTCACAGTGGATATGTGTGAAAAACAAACAGCTTTGCATATTCTTGTATCACTATTCTGTAGCTGATTTTTATATATGAGCAGGATATGTGTGTCCATACATGAAAAGATAATATTCTTCTTTGCCATATACAAATTGGCATGGAATCCAAAGAACAGGCACGTGGAAGAAAGTGTAAGATGCCAGCTAAGGAATAATGGCTTGTCCTGGAATTGGTGGTGCTGTATTAGAATAACCCTCCCTGCATTAATTTGTGATTCTTGTCTCGGTGCTATACTTTGGGGACCTCAAAGGCACTGCAGCAAGGAACTGCTGCATTTGAAAACCAACTTTGTCTGTATTTCTGCAGGAGGGTGATTCCCCAGTAGATGGTACACTCTAGACCCTTCTGGAACAGCTTTTGGAGGAATTGCTCCACACAGTGAAGCATCTCACCGTTCTCCAGCAAATCCCGGCAGGCACACACACGCCAGCTCACCGCTGAGATCAGTACAGTTGCCGTAATTGAAACAGGTAAGATTTTTGTCTTCATTCCCACAAACTGTATGCGGTAATTTTCTGTACCTAGATAAATAAGAAAGCAATGGCAGTTGTTATTTGCTCATTCCTTGTCCACTTCTGGATGTCTTGTGCTTGTGCTCACCTTCTTCTTTGAGTCTAGGCCATTGCTTTAGTGGAAAATATTGAGATCTGCCTTGCAGATTTGTTGTCTGCATGCAGAACCTAGCACCAGTGAGTCTCCAAACAGAAGGCACAGTGCTCCTGCTGGCAAATACTGCCCAATGCAAATGGGGTGACCACCCAGCATGTGGAGCTGCACACACCTGGTGCCTCCTTGGTTCTCCCCCTGGCAAGGAAACCCCACGGCTGTGTGGTCACAGGCCGGTGCTGGGGGCTGGCCGCTGCCTGTGCTGTGAGGCTGGGGTGGGAGCAGTGCTGGATGTCCGTGGATGGACAGCAAGAGCTGGAGCCTGAGGCTCACATAGTGTGTGTGTGTTACTCATACTTAACTGCCTGAATTGGGGTTTGCCTCCTCAAGGATTTTCTGGCAAGTTAATGATTCATCGCTTTTTAGGAAAAACAAAAAAAGGGGCAGTGCTCTGCCTGGGTTAGTGGCTTGGATCTGTGTGACACCCAGATATCTTAGAAGAACTCAAAAGAGGGATCTAACATACAAGATAGAGCATATTGGGCCAATATAAGGCACCTTCCAACTGATCCACGTCTAACTGATCTCTAAAGCTTTCTGTACTGCAGGTTCTTTATATATCAATTCTGCAGCCACAATTAATATGTAAATTGATGCATAGTATAAAATACAAGTCTGTATTTGATGTGCATTGAAATGGGAGCATCAGTGGTGTAGTAATCCCTCAGATGACAACATAAAAATCATTTGGACCTTCCTAGTTCATATTACCTGCAAAGTTTTCCGGTGAAGTTGCTAGCACACAGGCACGAGTATCCATTAACCCCATCTATGCAAGTGGCCCCGTTAGCACACTGGTGGCCACGGCAGTTGTCTATGTCCTCTTCGCAGTTTAACCCTGTGTAGCCAGGTTCACAAACGCACTCGTACGAGGCAATCCTGTCCGTGCAGTTTCCATGAACGCAGGGGTTGGAAAAACATTCATCGATGTTGGTCTCGCAGTGAGTGCCAGGTCCATCCCTGGGCACACACGCAGCGGTAGGAGGTGTAGAAGTCTTCGCATGTCCCCTCGTGCATACAGGGATCTGAGCTGCAGGCATCCACCTGCAAACAGCCAGTAAGAGTAGGGTTTGCAGATATTTTGAGAAATTGTTCCTCCTGAGGTTTTTTAGTGTGGACAGCAGCATTTTCGAAGTAGGAGAGATAAATGCCACTGATTTCTATGGTGCTCATACATCCTCGCAGGCCATCCAGACTGTCAAAAGCCTTGTCAGCCACATAGATGTCAGTCTCTTCTCTTAAAAAGTTGAGGCTTCCTGTGGCAGTTGCGCTGGTTGCAGTGTCTTGCTTGTCATCTATATCAATGTGCCACCTCGAAAACTGGGACAGGGGCTCCACCATAGAGACCGTCACCTGATGCCACTTCCCATCGCTCACGGGCAGTGAACTAGCGAGGGTCAGCTTATAAAAGCTGTTGCCGCTTTGCAGCTGGAAGAGTAGTTTGGAGTGGTGAATACTGATGGTAACAAACTCTGGCTCCTTCTCTGCATACAGCAGTATCACATCTGTGTCCCTAGTTCGAAAGCCAAATATGATATTGGTGAGGTCTCTGCTGATTTTTCCATTGCTTCTGTAAAATATCGCGCTGCTTCGGCCGCTAAACACTGCGTTAGCAAGACCTGTGCAAAGATAATAATTGAAAAACCAGGCCAGCTTTAAAACAATATGTGTGGACATTATCTCTTCAGTGCCCCCATGCTCCCTGTCATTGAATTCCTTTTGTATCTGCTGAAAAACAACCAAATTCCACCAGTGTTTCAGTGATCCTTGCTTGCCTCTTATAGCTACAGAAGTTACAGGGCAGTGCCAGCACCAGTGTCCCTGGTGCCATGGGAGTTGCGTGGCTTTGTGTCACCTGAAGCTCTATTTCTGGAGCTTTGAGTGCATTTTCTCTGTGACTTGAGAAGGGGGACTGGCCCCATTTACTGTAATGTAAATCAGAAGTATCGGTAGTAAAAGAACCTATGGAAGTACATAACCATAGGTACTAGTCGGGCCCTGCTTCTTCTTATGAGGGGAGCCCATCTTAGGCACTTAGCAAAGAAATAATAGCAAAAGACCAGGTCAGCAAGGCTGATGGGGCTCAATAGCTTTTTATAGGCTTTTATGGACATAGCCAAATCTGACAGATGTAACCATACTGATATTATTTTAAATGGTATTTTGGGAAGAGGTTAAATGATTATGTTAGTTGCATGAGTATATTAAGATTGAAAAAGTATTTAGCTATTAGGTATCTCTTCTCATTGTAGTACTCATCTACAATATCAGTTCCTGTATTCACATTTGTAGTCAATAGGTAGGAAATGATAGGTACCATTTCCTTGCACTTCTCTGCTTCGTTGGTGTTATCTCTTGTTCTTCCTTAGGCAGAGGAGTTGACCATGACTGTATACAGCTCAGACCTGAGGCTGAGAGAGTTTTTCCAAAGGAGACGTGTTTGTCTGTATTCGTTCCCTATGCATCAGCAACTAGTTTTTCCCCATGAGGGACCAGCACTGGGTGAACCTTTGTTCTCAATGCCTCTTTTCTTAGATAAGGCATTAAGAGGTTTTAGAAAGTATTTGGTTGGATCCCAATCTACTCTCACTGATGCAAAAAGGATGACTCTCATTGAAGTCAGTTGGCAAAAAGCCACTTCAAAATCGATGTGGGAAGTCGTGCCTGTTGTGCTTAAAGCCAGCTTCTCCCGCTGCGTGCAGGCTGCCGCAGCCTCGCTGCCGGCACTGAGCCTGCGCTGGCGGGACTGGGAGGGCAGCAGAGGACTCGGTTTATGCTGCTGTGAGTGAAAATTGATGGGCAGCATTATGGCAGTTTTATGGACGTCTTCACAAAGGTATTTGACATCTTTCATTAACATGGTTTCTACTAAAATGCACTAACTCAGTGGACTGTAAATTTGCACATTCTGAGATTTATGAGGATTATAGACAGGGAGGAAAGACAGGAGGAATGTCTTCTGCTTGTACTTAAGACAAATTTAGCTCTGCAAGATCCCAGCACTGAGGTAAGGTGGAATTCTGAGCTTTCTCTGGGCTCAGTAAATCTCAGGAAAAAGAACCCCGGGGAACCCCGGTGCAAGATTATGGCTGGGGAGCAGCAGCAGATGAGAACTTGCCATTCACTGCAGAGTAAATGCTAAAGCAATTTACCTGAAACCTCCCAACGATGCAGGCAATAAGCACTGTGAATTATTGTACTGCTCAGTGACTGTCTATCCCAATACTAATGCAGTCTTTCTCACAAGAGAGGTTTCCCCTAAGGAAACCATACCAAAAATGAAACTCAGAGCTTTTCAAAAATTATTTTAAACATTTCACAAAGCTGTTTTAGCTGTTTTTAAGCTTAAAAGCTAAAATACTCCTGCTGAAATCCTTTTAAATCCTGACCACAGCTAGGCATCTGGATGTGCTTTTACTCTTAGTTGTGCCACTGGGCATAAGGTTTTGTGGTTACTTGATGCTCCCCACTTCAGCTTCTTCTGTCTAGCTTCTCTCTTTTTTTTTTTTTTTCATAGTTGGAGTTCATGTTTTATTAAAATGCAATAGTGAATTTTATGAGAGAACATATTTGATCATATTTGATGTTGTCATTAAATATGTCTGTTATAGAAGGTGCCATTATTTTAATTTCAGTAATTATTTTAATTTCAGCTGTTAATTTTAACAAGTGATGCAGTGCTGATTCTAACAATCTCAATGAAAATAGCATGATACTGATCTGCTTCTTAATTGTCTATGGTATAAATCTTTTGCTGACCAACCTTCTCATTCCTAAGAGTCATGACATGAAGAATGTCAGACATTTTAACAGCTTCCATCAGACTTTGTGTATTTATCTTCCTTCACAGCATCATTAAGACTTCCTTTAATAGTAAAAAAAATATATATATATATATAATATTATTATATATTATAATAATTATATATATATATATAAATTTAAAAAGGAAAAAAGGACAAAATATTTCTTCCTAATCCTTCCTTGCCTTTTAAATTCTGCTTCAGTTCAAGGTGGCGAATGAAGGCATTCAGGGTGGCTAATGTTCTTAAGACAGCCAATGGCCATTACTTTTCAAATTAATATATTGCCCTGTAATGCAAGTGCTTCTTACAAAGATACTGGTTTAATAGCTGTACTGCTGACATTAGGGTGACTTCCTTCAAACATTTCTTTATCATCTTTCTTTAACATTAAAGAATAATCAAGTGATACAAAGTATGTCATGTAGCTTGTGTTTTCAAGAGGGATAGAGAACATCCTAAGGTTAATCCAACACTAGATATCCTCTTATCTCTTTGCAGTACAGGGATGTGGGGTACACTTGCACTCTGGTGGTGTAGTGATCTATTCTGCAACCTTGACAAGTTATGTTGAAAAAGTCAAATGTGAAGGTCGTGCAAACATCAGTGTCTGTGTCATGGGGTCTGTCTGAAAATGCCTGTGTTTGGTAGGGCAGAATTTTCCAATTAACTTGACTCTACTTACAATTAACATGATTATTATTATAATATAGAAATAGCATTTAAATGAACCTTGAAAAAAGTGAATATTGAGTTTTATGGAAATGCTGATGACAATTTCAGTTGTTTCTAACCTCAAGAGATGACAGGAATAACTGAAATGTACCTACATTCAAATCCTTGGTGCACCAGCTGGCATTGTGCTTCTTGAGGACAGGGCCCAAGCTCACACCACTTAACTTCCTCGCATGCTTTCCCTGCTGTATTAGGGGGACATGTGCAAGTGAAGTCATCCCAGAGTGAATAGCATACACCACCGTTATGGCAAGGGTTGGACTATGGGGAAAGAGAAGAGACAACCTGAGTAAATCTTGGTGGACTCACAACTATAAGGATATGGGACTGTTTGGCAAGAAGGATAATTCTGTTTATTTCAGGTGGAAAGCAAAGACCAGTGCTAAGACTGCATAGAGTAATTAATTGGTGAACAACAGTATTGTAACCTTAAAATATTTTCATTCTCTACTATGCCAATAGCTCTTGCTGCTGCTATCCATCATATGTAATGTAACAGAATCTGCTTTTTTCTAGCATTTCTACACATTTTCCTAAGATATCATTATTATCAAATATTGTATGGAAGGGTAATAAATATTATTTTTTAATTACCCATGACGAACTTGTGAAGATGTTACAAAAAAATGTCCTTCTTACCTTGCAGAGGTTGTCACCCATGCAGCCTCGGGTGACATTGATCAGGGTTCGGTTGACAAAAGAATTTTGGGAGTTGGTGATGGGGAAGAATTCCAGTGGCTGGTTATTCACTCTTACATCTTGGATGCAGCCTTTGAAATACCTGCCATTTCTATTAGTTTCTCTGTTATCTGGTAGGCCTCCGATGTAAAGAATTTTCTTGCTCTGGGTGGATAGTACTGGAGTAGAAATAAAGCCTAGGTATCGGGAGGACTGGAACAGTTCAATCTTACTTGGTTCTATTTTTAACATTATTAAGTAGAAGTTTCCATCATTCATAGAGTGTTTCCCTAATAATTTTGTGGAATTTAGAGCTAACACTGTGAGTTTCCCACCTTCTAAGTAGACTATTAGGTAGACAGAGGTACTGTTTCTCAAAGCCAGTAACAATGCCAGAAGATTTGCGTGTTCGGACAAACATTGATATATTCAGATTTTCATTCTGAGTGGCATCAACAGAAAAAGCAGCATAGCCTGAGGAGTCCTCAGATCCAAACCGGCCCGGAATATACTCTTGGGATTAGCGATACGGGAAAAAAGAAAGAAAGAGAATGGAGAAAAACAAAATAGTTAGGGCTAAATGACAAAGAAGCCAATACAATGATCAAATAGCTACTTCTGGTAATATTTACTTATGGTAGTAAGATGTGCTGGTATTAATGGATGTATAAGGACTTGATCCATCCATAAAGGGCTTCTATTCCCAAACTTCTGTAGGCCTCCATGGCTGTAACATTAGGCCACAGTACAGGACCAGATGTTATATTATTGTGCATATTTTTCCCCTTTATCATGCTCTGTGTAATGCTGTGTTTTCAAACAGTTAAATAAGGACAGATTTCTCCATTTTCCTGGATTGGTCATCAGAAAGATAATTTTGAAAGAAACTGGTTTGATCCTTTGATGACCATGGAAGTTAATATAATTCTGGATCTATGTGATTTTCTATTTTGCATTGATTTCAATCACAGAAATAGTCAAAAGCTGCTCAGCAAATATCTCTTGTGTACAACTTCCAAATAGCACACCCATTTTGTCCTGCATAGGCTCCCCAGTTCTTCAACAGACTTTCTGTTGCTGGAGCTCAGTACGTGCTCATTTGAGTCCTGCTCATTCCTGAGTGCTCATAATACTACTGTGTCACAGGGAAAAATGATGCAGGACTGAGTAAGCCTTTTTATTTTTTTCTGCTTATCAATTAAAACGATTAAACCAAAAACATCTGTCTCCCTGCCTTACTCTCTATTTTCAGTAATGATTTTCAGACTTGTAAGGATACCAAATATGTAGTCCAAACCGTATTTTATTCTGATGAATCATCTCGTTAAAGCACAACAAAGTGTTTCTATTTTTACACTTCAAGTTTCATGATCTTGTCCTCAGCATTACAGACTTCCTGCCTAAACACTTTCAAGAGCTATTTTTTAATATATCAAATTCATAGAAAGAACAAACCAAGCCTTTTTTTTTTAATGCTCACATAGCTGAACAGTCAGTCCCCTTTTGCGCAGTAAAACTCTTAGAGTGAGACCTCGTAGGCCAAGTTCCTGCCTGCAGCACTACTCTTTTTTTATGACTACATTAAAATAAGCAATGAAAATAGGGTACTGACTGTGAAGCCCCTAACAGACCCTTAATAATCACACTGCACTACTATGTGGCAAAGTAGTATTATTTAGCGACAGGAAAAAATCCCTTGCTTGTTCCTAAATGATTTCATAAATTAATTAAAAAAAAAAAATGGTTCTTTGCATAAGATTACCTTTATTTTTAGATGACTGCTAAAAATCTGGTATGTAGAAATATGTGCTTGTTGGAATGGGTGTTTTGAGGCATGATACCTCTTTAGCCAATACCTCTTCTGTAATATTGGTACTAGAGACTGAAATATTTTTCATGTCAGTAAAAAGAAAATTTCAGCTAGAGTTATGAATCATTAGTCTTCAAAGAGGTATTTCATGTTTACAATTACTTTGTTGTATTTCCCTCTATTTATAAATACATACATATACATATATATCATCAGTCTGATCTGTTTGATGAGATGGCTAGCATCACCTTGGTCAATATTAACCTCTTGGGTCACAACATGTGGATGTTGATCAAAATGAGTCAACATCTGTTTGTTATTTTGTGTATGTAGAGAAAATATTGCTTCTTGTCAATTAAATACTTGGCAGCAACTTTTCTTCAAAAAGACACTAGCGTTTCTTACGTTATCCTTTACCACAAGTCTCCCCCACTCTGCCTTTTAAGAAACCTGTCACAGCCTTTTAAATATGGCATATATCTAGAACCTATGTATCAAAATGGCATGGTGCCATGATTTGCAAGGAATATTGTGGTCAGCAGAAGAAAAAAAAAAAAAAGCACACTTTCTAATCATTCTCAACAGTTCTAATGCCAGTATAAGCCTCTCCTGGCCCTGACTGGTTTTAATTTTGCTTCATATAAGGAGGCAAACATATTTACCAGATGTTGTCCTATACTCCAAAGTTGCTTTCCAAACATTTGGATAAATTACAGCTAGACTTCAAAGCAGTCTGTTACAATTACCTCTCAGACTCTGTCATTTTGCAATAAGGGAAAAAAAACAATATTGAAAAGTATTGATAACTGTTAAGTATAGCATACAAAATGAACTTGTATTTGAACATTTTGAAATGCATTTCAAGCCTGCAGCTTTCTGCAGCAATACATCCAATAGGCCCTTGGGGCCAGTCGTTCAGCTGGTGCAGGTCAGTGTGGCTTCCCTGGCCGCGGTGCTGCCCTGCCAGCCTACACCAGGTTAGTCTGTCCGTTCTCACCTGACCACAGCACTGCTGTGGCACCTCATTTTTTAGATTTCTTGGTAAATGTATATATATATATATATATATATGTATATATTTTTTTATCTGTGTATCTACATATTATTGTATGTATTCTTCTTCCCTAAACATTTGCTGTGGTTGAACATGTGTGCGTGGTTAGTAAGGGGACAGATGGGGAAGCAGGGGCAAGGCACTGCAGGGAGGACTCAGCCCTGTGCATTTTTCAAAACCCCTAAAATGTTTGCTGAGGAAGGATTGCAGAGCCCACCCCAAGACATTCCTGAGGGGTGCTTATTTACAAGCTCCAGAGTTACTCACTGCCATTCCCGCACCAGATGTGGTACAGCAGGGAGCTGTGCAGGGACCTGCTCGTGTCCTCCCACTTGGCCTCGGACTGCACTTGGAAAGATGACTTCTAGCAGGGAACGTGCTACAGGCATTGCCAGCTTTTGAATCCCTGGTTGTCGCTGCCAAAGGGGCTGTTTTCTGAGATGTGCTCTTCTGTTCACTGAGACAGGGACACATCTTCCTCTGGTCACCAAAGTTATCTGGCAGCAGCAGCCTCTGCCAGCTGCTGCCCAGAGCTGTGTTGTACTTGGCTGAGATGAATGGGCCTCGGTCCCGGTCTCTGAAGCCCTGGCTTCTCCTCAGGCTAATCAGATTAAGTTAATAGCATAATCCCATTCATTTTGTAAAATTGGAATCTCTCTCTCTCTCTCTCTCTCTCTTTTTTTTTTTTTTTATTTTAACATGCAGTACTTTTGCTGGCTTATTATTGCCTTAAATGAGTTTCTTTATAAAAGCCTAGAGAGCTTGAGGATAAAATTTTGAAAGAATGCTTTGAAAATAAGACTTCAACTCCAAGTGACTTGGTTGCTTTCTAAATTTTACTCCAGTGAACTACAGTTTTCCAGAGTTTATGGAGTGCTAAGAGTGCTAAGAAGATTTTAAAACTGGATGAGCAGAATCCACCAGTTTAGCCTGACTTTTTTTTTTTTTTTGTCAGGCTGAAAAGCAGCCTTCCTGGGAAAGTAACTAGAAAATAATGAACATGTGCTACTACTAACCTCTTGTGCTTTCTTACCAGTGGGCAATAAGTTCCAGAGATCCTAAGGCACACGCTGGTTCATCACTGAGATAAGCAGGCCGGTATGTTTTGAACAACCACTAATGCCAACAGCATGATCTTACCTGCTGAGCAGTGGGGCCCTGTGTAAGGCCGGTAGCAATCGCAGTGGTAACTCAGCCACAGGTTGGTGCAGCGTCCCCTATTCTGACAGGGGTGGTTTTCACACCAGTCCTTTTTAGTACATCCTGTCTTGACATTTAAAGACGATTCAGGTGATGCATTCTCTGGAGTAATAACATTCAAGTCTATTTCAATATCCTGAAGACAGCCTACAAATGAAGGTGTAGAATGTATATTATTGATGTTAAGCAGAGAGCTGCTGCTAACGTTCCCCACTGGTAAGCTGCCCAAAAATGTGCTCTGAAATGCAAGCCTCACGTGATCATTATCTATCATAGCAGAAGTTTTATTGACACATGATTCTGCACAAGAGCTGTCAAGTAAATTAAGAGTAACAGCTCTTGCCAAGGTTACCTCCACTGAATGCCATTCTCCATCACTGACATTATGTGAAATATGCAAAAGAGCCCGTGGCTGGTTTTTGACTTGCACAGACAAGTGTAAGTAGCCATTCAGTAACTCCAGCTTCACGAATGTGTCTTTCTCCCCTCGATGAAACAGAAGGGTTGTGGGTTGCACAGTCTGAAACCTCAGGTTCACATTATAGAAAGATTCCTTTTTAGGGGTCGTGGGATTCTTCAACCAAAGGAAACTGTTTCCTTGAAAAGAAAATGTAGTTATGGTTTCACAGTGTATTCCAGTATATCCAGGTGAGCATATGCAGCTGAATCCATGTTGGCCATTTTTTAAATGTGGGATACAAATTCCATTATTTTGGCATTGCTGATCAGTACAGCCATGGAGAATTTCTGTGCAGTTCCAGCCGCCGTAATAAATCCCTTCTTTGTCTGCAGGTGGGCAATGGCAAGTGTAATTCCCAGGAAAATTCTCACAAATTCCACCATTTTGGCAAGGGTTCATGTAACATTCATTGATGTCTTCATCACAGTGAATACCTGAAGAACAAACAAAGAATTAGACATTTTGGAGTGAACAACTAGAGCCCAGAATTGTGTTTTTAAGAACCTGTGCTTTCTTAAATTATCTTTAATTTAAGAATGAAATTCTCAGAGTGAGCAGGGAACTGTGCAGTGTAACAGTGAGAAATGCAAAAAGCATCCCTGAATCCTATCAAAATTGGGGTGAGGTACGGTGAGATGCACCTTGACCACAGTAAACGTGCAGTTGCACATTTCAGGAGCAGTTGCATGTTGCAGGTCTTCACAGATGGAAGCAGAGGTGATTTCTGGTTCATCAGCTATATCTCATACTAAGAGGAGAATTGTCGTGGGAGATGAGGATGTGAGAAAAGCTATTGGAAGGGTTTGAACCCATGTGGCCCAGAAAAATGTTACTGGTACTGTGTATCTACAGGGAAACATCCTTTACTTATCCTATTTGCAAACTATAAAGAAAAGAGGAACAGAGTGTCTTCCCAAACATCCCAGAGCCTGATGATTAAAGCACGGGTGATAGTGAGTCATAGTTGCTTCTCTTCCATGTAGTGCATGGTTTCTTGTGTATTGTGTAAAGGAGAGCTCCTCATCTCAACTTGACTGGAATTTGATAGATGTAAACCAAGTATGCATAGTGGGTCAGGCTGCACAAAGACAAATCTGTTTGCCTTGTAAAACTTATCCGTTTATCCCTCTTCAGTATTGTTTGTCTATAAAATTGTAATTATAGTAATTCTCCCTTGAACATTCAAGTGACTGATAAGTATGAAATGGATCAGGGAAAATCTGTTTCTTATCCCCCTTGGAAGCATTCAAAATATCCAAATGTTTTTTTGAAGACTCATGCAAAATACAGCTCTTAGTATTTCCCCCGTTCTGGAGAAGAATATGAAATGCTAGTTCGGAACTAACTGCAAAGTATTGTCTGCACAAAGTAATTACTAGACATAATTATGCCTGTCCCTGCAGTAGCATTGCCTCAAGCAGCTCGTCACTGGCTTATCATGTTAGGTGCCTGTAAATTAGATCCTGAGGTATGCTAGGACTCTCAGAGTTGCAGAGAGGTACAAGGCACCACACCTAGTTTTACATGCAAATTCACACAGAGCTTTATTTTTATAGCAAAACGCAGTCGTTTTTCATGGAAAATCACAGAGCAGCATCCAGCCACAACGAATAGCTTCAAACAGCAGCAGATAAACGTATCTACTCAGGCTAATTCCCCGCCTGTCCGTTTTATTCAATCACAATTGTAACTAGACCCATCTCAGGGAGCGGTAAGTTCTGAGAGCCAGAAGGGACCTGGGAGTTGGCCAAGATTTGTTTTAAAGATTGGACAGAGTGAAGTGATCACAGCATGTATGCAAAAGGCCCTCTTAGCAGTGATCTTCCTCACCGCAGTGCCCTCCTTCAATTACAGCACATGATCCGAAGCTTGAAGCAGAAACTACCAAGCACTGTAGTGCTCTTTCTGGTCTGACAGTGGGGTTTTACCACAGCAGCCTCTCTTTTCGAGCCAGGCTTATATTTATTCCGATGTGAGATGTCTGTGTATACCTTAATGTGTAGTGGCATCTGGCAGAAATATGAATCATTAGGCCTGACTTTCTCAAAGTGACATGCACTTCCCAAACCTTGACTGACTGGGGGCCAGAACAATGACTGCTTTACCCAGTTTGTGGCAATTTCTGTGTTAGCGACTTGTCCTGCTTTTACTGTTCTAGTATATGAAAAGTGAAGTTACCGTGAGCTGTTTCCTGTTTCAGTCAATGTTTTAGTACATCTCCTGCTTTGACATACACGGCAATGTGACCACGGGTCTTGTGTACTACTCAGTTTTACTATGACAGCTGTAGAAATATTGGTCTCATTGGGTTTTTGTGTCAGAGAGAAAAATTAATACAGCCTAAAAGCAGTAGGATCGGGTATGTATGCCTTGCCATAAAGCCTTAGGGTGGTCAGGAAGAACATAAGGATTTACAGACCAGGAGCTCCTATTAAACCTTTCATAGAAAACATCAGACAAGTGACTGGCATGCTACAGAGACTGTCTAGATGCTTAGCTGCTGCATGTTCAGCTCCGAGTATGTTTGTTTATTATCCCACAGCACCTGCAAGGCATCATCTTTGCCTTGCAGCTTGTGGTCAGTGTTGCAATAGTGTTGTTGTCCTCTGAAAGGGTGAAATAGATGCGTGAACTGAACCCAACTTCACAGTTACGTTCAGTGTCTGTGTTGTTCTCTACCTCATAAAACTGAAAGGAAAATTAATGAGATGGTTTCATGAACATGCTAAACTTATTTGGAAATCAGATATGTTTCTGTCTATAAGTTTAGATAACACACTAATAACACAAGCATCAGTGTCTAAGGAAGAAATTAAATTTGTTTTATGAAAAGAAACAAATTGGTAGTGCAGTTCTTTGCCCATAGTGAATAATATCAGTTACTAAATGCAAAGTGACTATCACAGAGAGACCTCTCTCTCTCTCTATATATATAACTTCATAAGCATTTCAGTGACTGAATACAAATGCTTATTTTCTAAGTAATGGTATTAATATGTTGAAAAATAATGATTTTGTGGATACCTCTATAAATATTTGTTTATGTATACATATAAATACAGATTCAATGTCTGCTATTTCATAATAAGATTAGCACAAACATAAATATAGGTCACACCAAAAGACAAGCAATAAACCATTTTTCTTCATAGAAGGAATAAATAAATCAGCTGTTCTTACAAGTGGTGGTTGATACTGCTTGTTATCTGCCAACTGCTATGCAAAGACCACTGTCACTCAAGATAAAAGCACTCTAGATAAAAGGATTAGTCAATATTTATAGAACTGTATAAGCAGTTCAAATAGCTCAGGTTGGAAGAGAAGTTAGCATTAAAAAAAAAAAAAAAAGGATTCTGAAAAGATATACCAAAAGCAAGTGCAAGGGGAACTATTTTTTTTTTTTCTGTAGTTACATGCATCAGGCTCAGCTAAACATGTTTGTGTTTTGGAATTGAAACCATTTTATCTTCTAAATATATTAAATGCCTACCTAAAATTTCAGATAAATATATTTTATTTTTTATTATATTTTGATAGATAATAGTTAATTTTTCCTCCTGTAAATTTTTATTCAAAACAGAGACTGAAACAGCTCCTTTGACTCTGTTTGACAACCCCACTCATAACTTCGTCTCCTTTTTTCACTTACACACTACCATTAGAGCTATTATCTACCCATTAACCTCTTAATTAAACTATGTTTCATATTTAGCAGAAAAGGTTTTCTTACAGAAGCAGAATGACAAAAGCAATTATTCAAGCATACTTTTGCTAAATGCCACTAACTTTCATTTTGATTAAACAAATATATGTGTTACCCAAATTACACTTTTTACACACACCTCTAGTCAGAAATCTCTCTACTTTCCCGTTCCTTGACACTTTATAAATCATCATGCAAGTACAAGCAAGCAGTCTGGATAGACGTGACATACTCAGTATTACCTAAGTACACATAACATTTCCCAAAAAGAAAATATTTACCTGTAAACATTGTCATTAAAATGATGTAAACCTGTATCCTAGTTGCAACCATCTTTTTCTGAAGTAAAAAGATTGTTTAGCATTTACGCAGTCCACAAAGTAAATTTCTGCAAAATTCAAAACAGTTCTTGCTATAAAGGCTTCTTTTCCAGGATTAGCTTGTTCCACTTCTGTACCTGCTGATGTAGTCTGATGGTGTATTTTGTCCAAGCCAGATCAACAAGGCTTAAAGTAAGACTCATTAAACTGCTTACGTAATAGATATGTATTCTACTTATACGCTTCTTCAGAGTGTTCAGTCCCAGTGTGCTCAAACTGAACTTCGGTGATGTTTGACAAAAAGGCATATTTCTAAGATCTCTTCAAAACTGATTTGTCACTTTTTACTGTTTTATATTGTTTTTCTTTTAAGAACCAATAAATATTGTTTTCATTTTCAAGAGGTTTATTTACCAAGATCAACCTTTTTATAGTCACTGTCATTCAAAAAACTGTATATGTCAGTAAGCAGAAAGAAAAGACCTACAGTTGTGTCTGCCTTTGTTTATTTTTGTTCCGCTGGCATTCATTGTTCTGCTTGCTGAAAATTTATGTCTGTAGATTTCTGAATGTGCTAAAGACAGAAAAAAAAATCATTGAAAGATTTTTCTTCTTCATCTCTTGAGCAAGGCATTTTTGATTTGGCCCTAATTTAATGAAAAACTATAATTATAGAGTTCCGTAGACTGAAGTATTTATGTCTGTGACAATGCAAACAGCACTTTTTTTCCTTCCATTACACTTTATTTACTTGGTAAATTTATGATTTGCATAGAATATTGCTAGAACAGTATCTCTGTGATATCTCTGAAATACTTATAAAGCGAGAGCATCTTTCCCTGGGTTGCTGTTTATACCATACATCCAGTGTATGACAAACTATACATTCAGATCTTTCAGATTTTTTTGTTTGTTTGTTTGTTTGCCATTTTAAAACCTGAATCATGGATCCTGAAGTCTCTCTCAGCCTACCTTATTTCCTCCACATTATAAATATTATATAAATAAATTTATCACTGAATTGGAAATTATCTCTGTAGTCCAGTAGTCAGGACTATGTGAGGTTGTATTCCAATATATTTTTTTGTTTTTGCTCCCTATGCTGTAAGTTGTGAAGGATCTTGCGGGCAGTGCAGGACGTGGTGTTCATCTCCGCTTGGGAAGTCCTGAGTGCTCTCTGGGCCTCTGGTATCATTCTCTGTTTTCATCCAGGAACTGCAGCCTGGCCCTGAGAAATAAATGTTGATTTTTTTTGCAAGCAGATGTTTTTCAATTTCTCCCCCTCCCTCAGATCATTTATTCATTAATTAGGAAATTCCTGACCTTGTTTGAAATGTGTTTTTAGGTTTACCAAAAGACCTGTACACAAGATACAATTCCGGATTCAGTTAATCTACAGTACAGTTACTTC